GTCTGCATGTGTGTGTGTGTCTGTACCGGATGTCATTTGTATAAACTTATATGGTGGGATTTTCGACTGGCTTGGCTTGCGCTTTTGCTCCCGCTGTCACTAGCTGACTCTCTCTCTCTCTCTCTCTCTCTCACTCCTACTTGCTATCGCTCTCTCTCTCTCTCTCTCTCTTTCTCACTCTGTGTCTCTGCCTTTCTCGCAATCGTGTGCACTGGTAGCCAAGTGGAAAAGTGAAATAAGCGCAGCTTTTATGCCCCAGCGTAGCCAGTCAATTTGGGCAAACGGATAACGGATAATATATACTGGATAATGCTTTATGGCGTACATTACGCCCAAAAGTAGACCGCAGGACGAACAAATCGGCAAGCCAACGCGAAAAAAAAACATTACGATAAACACACGTTAGGCGATAAAATAATAAGCACAATATATTTACATATGTGTCTGAAGTTTCAGATATAAATATATATGTATACGAGGGCGGTGCCATAATCACCGGACATAACAAGTCGATGGCTATTTCAATGAACTGAATATTTCATACTATAAAAGTTCATACTCTATAAAGCAGAATATGTTGAGAAGTAAAAGAAATCAAATTGCAAATTAGTCGAGTTCAATTTTCGGTAGGGCACTTCCGAGACCGTCTTCGTATAATATATTTATATATACATATATGCATATATCTATTATCCTTTCCTGCCATTCACAATCAAAGCCTAAATTGTTCTTGAAGAGAACGAACAATCAGAGCTGAATTGGACGTTAGCCACAAACAACATACAGTGAGCACACGCTAAATGCGCTACTTCAGTACAGACAATACGCCATTGAGAGGCATATGTGTATGTCGAATGTGGGTGCTATAGCGCTTAATACCCGTTAGGACATTTCGACTCACATTAAATAGAAATAAAATGTATTGTAGTTCAAAGTTCTGGCCTACGCATCAGCCCAAAACTTGATTACACTATTCGAAGCCTCTCGATTTCCATTTTATCTCTCTCTTTATTGATTCGGCTTTTACTTGGCTTTTTTCCTTTGATTTTCAAAAGTTTTTTCCATTTGTTTTCTCGTTTTTTCCTGACTTTTTTGTTTTTTTTTTGTTTTTTTTTGTTTTTTGTTTTTTTTTTTTTTTGTTGTCGTTTCATTTGATGCAATATAAACTCATTGTCTATTCAGCAGGTTCTCATTAACCCCGTTTGCTATTCTTTTGGTCTCGGGGGGACTGCGCCTCGACTGTTCGCCCGATCCCAATTCCATTTACCTATTATGGGCACAACCTGACATTTTTGCCTTGCTCAGTTATCGCATCGACGCACACGCGGCCCACTTCTAATGGCCAAAAGCTGAGCACCAGAGCCAGCTACCCCAATACACTTTTTACTCCCTAGCCCTCTCTCTCTCTCTCTCTCTCTCTCTCTAGCTCTCTCCCTCTCTTAAGCATTGAGCCACAATTATGAGCTGCCTTTAATCATATTAATGTGACCGCTGCTGCTTTCACGATAGTCAGCTTTCCGCCAACTTTTCACCCGTACCATTTGCACGCACCGCTGCCTGAATCCGTACGGCTTTGCCCTCGGCCTCGCCTTCGCGTTCGCCTTTGCCTTGGAGCCTTTTGCCCCTTCACTGATGCTGTGCTTGGCGAAGCGAGTCGGTTTCCTTATTTTATATGCAGTTTTGCTTCTTTTGGGGCCATTTTGGTGTTTTTTTTTAGCCATTTCTTGAGCTAAACTTGACCTTCAATTGTATATAATCCATATTCCCCTTTCCTCTCTCTCTCTCACTCTCTCTCCCTGTCTCAATTGGCAGTCTGCCTGCGACCTTTTTGAATGACTCTCCGTGGAATTGAGGCAGAGAAACGCTTATCGCTTTTCTATTACGGGCGGCAGCGTCTTGCCCACTGAACACGCCCCTTTCGCAGCACACCTCAAGGACTGGCTCCTGCTGCTGCTGTTGTTGTCGTCTCTGCTTGCGCTTCTGCTGCTCAGCTTCTCTGCTTCTTATCTGTATTATTGTTTCAATTGTTCGCTGGCAACTTCTGCAATTTCCAGCCTGGCCACAAACAATTCCGACTGCCAACTCCCAGACACGTTGGCAGCAGCTTCATCTGCCTTAGCTTAAGAGCTTGTTGTCTTTTGTCTCAGTTGTTGTTCTTGCTGCTGTTGTTATTGCTGTTGTCCCCGTACTTAAGTAATTCATTTGTGCTTAAGATACAAAATGATTTCGTTAAATTCACGTTCAGAGAACTAAGTAAATAATCATCCAAAAGTTTGCCAGCTCCACAATTGTTGGATCCCGAAAGCCGCAAAATGTAAAGTGCGCATAATTTTACGAGCCAACGAGATGACAAGCAGCTGAAGCAGGGGATCCGAGGCTGAGGGGCCGCAGCTTCAGTTACTTGGCAAACTGTGCAGGTATCTGCTGTATCTAATTGACTGAAGGATGAGGACAACCGTTGCTGGCCCTACCGCACCCCTCCGCTCCACCACCACCTGACAACAGGCAGCAGTTGAAGGACATGCGAAAAGCCAAAGTAACTGACACCGACAAATAATAATATAATTTAAAGTATATATGCAAAGAGAAAGGGGGGGTGGGGGGAAAAGAGAGAGAGAGAGAGACAGCTGCAGCTGGAAGTGGAGTTGAGCTCAAAGTTTGTCCGCGCAACGGCCTCACGTCAACACAATGCGAACGGGAATTACAAAGATTTTCTAATGAGCCAAAAACTTAAAAGCAAATGACCGCCCAAACGGACAGATTAACAGGCAGCCGGGCAGGCAGGCGGAATGATAAATAGACAATGACAGACAGACAGACAGACAGACAGATGGTTGACAAAAGTTTTTTGCAGTCCCCGCCACGCCCACAAGTCCCAAATACAAAAGAACGAAAACAACTCACGGGCCCGTGCGTTAAGCTTGTCATTGCGAGCAACGGCAAGACCTAACCGAATTTTTAATACCCTAACCAGACCACTAGATTTCCAGGCGTGAATGATTCTCGAACGTGCTTTTATTTCGATATATTTTGCATTTATTTTATATTTTTTAAGTCGGCTTTTTATTTGAGCTATTGTGTGTGTGTTTCATTTTTACACACACACACACACACAATTTTGTGCATTTTAATATTATCATATTTTTAATGCCCAGTATATATATTTCAAATAAATAAGGAAAACAAATAAAGTGAATTGAAAAGCAATTACGCCACTGGGATTAAATAATGTCAATCATTTTTTAAAACCAACTAAAATATATGTGCAATATATCTGTAGCTATACAGTATGTACCCATATATTGTATATCTCTTTCATTTCTATTACAAAAAGTAATAATGCCCCGAGCTTGAGCGAGAGCACAAAGTTATGTACGACTTATTGGAGCGATAAATACATTAATTAAAGTCAAGTTACTCATAAATAAATGAAATGTGCTGAAAGGCGAGCCCAACAACAACAAAAAGAACAGCAACAACAAGAGCAAAAGCAGCAGCAACAGGAGTGAAAAGTGGTAAAAAGTCAAGCGAAGCGAAGCCTGGACAGGAGACGTCGACGGTCATTAATGAGGCAAGCAAAACGCGTAATGGAAACGCACTGGAAATGAGGAAAACTGAGAAAAGGACATGCGGTCTAGTTGGATATTGCGAAACTTGAAAGTGCTGCAATTGAATATGTGTGTGTGTGTGTTTGTGTGCTATGCAATGCTTGACTGAAGCTGAAGTGTGGTCAAATTGAGGTCAGCCTTAATGAATGGCAGTAGGTAATTGGTGGCAAGCAGTTGGATAAACGCGAGTTCTAGACGACCAAGAGCTACGGCTGAGCTGAAGCTTAGTTAAAGAGTCCACATTAGATGTTGACAGAGGCAGAGGAAGCAAAGCACAACAGAGATAAATTCAAGCCAACAGAGACTATGGCAACAGAATGACGAAATGGTCAGAGCTTCCTGATCCCGAGCATCCACCGTTCATCTTAATTGATAGGCGCTTATAATGTAAATTATCCAACATCTTGTTGACTTAATGTTCCCAACATCAAAGCAACTTTAATGAATTTTCACTTAAAAATACATACGATTCTTAAGAGCTCGAGTGCGCAATGGCCTAAAGGCAAATTTCAAATGTTGACAAAAGAGTTAAGAGAGCAAAAACGGAATGAAAAAGCGAGAGTGAGGAAGCAGCAACAGAACGACCAAAGGAGTTGCATGTCCCTCGCACGCTGCTGCCAGAGCTCCTCATGTTAATTGAAGCACATGTTTAATGCATGTTACGCAATAACCTCATGCTAAAGTTAAGCTAAAGCTTCCAACTCCAAAACAATTTGAACGGCATGCAAAGTAAAAAATGTCATGTGATATATGTTGGCAAAAGAGTTGAGAATGCGAGAATGACGAAAGTAGTTGCAACAGCTTGCAGGATAACATTCATGTTAGGGGTCATGTTAATTGAAATACATTTATAATGCATGTTATTTAACCGCTTGATGACTGAGGGTTAAAAGTTTTAGCAAAATTATGTTTGAAAAAAAAAAAAAAAAAAGTTGCCTCGAATCTCTGCGTTGACACATGAATTAAGGAAGCAAAGAAGAATGAAAATAAAGAATGGGGTATGAAACTGACGAGAGCACAGTCGATGTGCTCTCATCTTAATTGAATGACGTATATAATGTATCATCATGTCATTTAACCTCTTGTTGACTGAACGCCAAAGCTTCAAAGCAACTTTCAAGTTCCTTTGAAAAATCTAACATTTGCGAAGGGCTTGAGCTCAGTAATTTGAAGATTAAGTTAAAGTAACTTGAAGTTGATCAAAGTTAAAGGCATAATAGACCAAGTAGTTAGTAGGGTGCTTTAATAGAAAGGGAATATTCCTCAAGTCAAGTTGAAGCACAAGCTGCAAAGTGTTTATGAATTTTTTTTTTAATATTTTATTTTTATTCTTGTCAGCATCAGGTCAATTATGTGTACAACCATCATATCAGCTTGTGCTTCTCCACTTACCTTAGTCGTAGTTGGCCATGGAAATCTTGTCAGCCTGCAAACTGCACATAAGATGCGAAAACCCAAATTTGGAGAGCTGTAAATAAAGTTGAGGAAAACAAAAATTATTAAATGCCAGAATAAATGAGCTAAAGATTAAAGAAAGCAAGAACGTCAGAGTCGATCTTATCAGTCGTATAAACTCTAAAACCTTGAGCTTATTACAATGCCGATATATGTCGATAATTACAAAGTCTATCAAAGGCACAAATGAGAGCAAGTTAAAGTCGTTAGAGTCGATCTTATCCGACTGCATGATGCTCGTTCAGAGGAAAAAAAAAATTTATACTTATTACAAAATCGTTATATTCCGATAATTACCAAGTCCAAGTCATAGATCAAATCAAGTATAAATGTTACAGTTAATCTTATCCAACTACATAATACTCGTTCAGAGTCAAAAAAAAATAATAATAATAATAATCGTTAAACTTATAACCAAACATGTATATTCTATTTTACTGATAAGCTCGAATAATAGATTTATCAAATGCAAACATCGTCCAAGGTTGAAGCTAGCCCTAAACCTGCCTAAGAATGCTCGAGTTGAAAGAGAGGTCCACATAATATCTATGAGCAATTTATATATGTTTTTATTATATATCTATATACTCTATGTGGCTGTGTGATGTAGTGCATAGATATATGCAATATATAGTACATATCATTGTATATACCATATAGTATATACCATATATATATCTGCGGATTATATATGCCATTATATATTCCAAATGTCAAATCTGTCTTGTTTAAGCTCTTTAGCTCTGTTCAGATAGAAAAGCAGTCTAATGTGTAGATCTATATGCACGTTAATGTCACAGCTCATGTCAGCTGACTGCCAGAGCCAGCTGTCAGCTTACTGTGCCCCCACACAATTTGGATGGTTCTCGATATTATTTATAATGATGAAACTTAGCACCGGCTATTATGAGCCCAAATTTGCACAGATAGCCAAAGGGTCAACAGGCAACGGACAACGACCAACGGACAACGGTCAACGGCCTTACTTTACGGCCAACAATGGCATTGGCCATTGGTAGCAAATGGTTTAAATACATATATGACTGTGGGCGCCATTTGAATGCCCTATGCTGTTGTTAAGGAAATGCTGTTGTTAAGGAATGCCATGTGAGAGCTCGCATTAACCTTTTTTTGCCAGCCGAAGAAAGTTTCAACTTTTCCATTGGGACTGGCGCCGGCAGGCGAAAGAGTTTTTAACGAAAATTAACACCTTGTTGGTAATGTCTCAGGTGTGCGCAGGCTTTATAGAATCTTTATCAGCGGCTTCTTTGCAATCCAAACCAATTGCCAGGCGGCTCCTGGCGGCATCGTTTTAATGAGCTAAAGTTTTTGGCCAAAGTTGTCGAACTGCTGACAGCGCCAGAGAGAGCTCCAAAGCGAGTCGAGCTCGGTGCGGTACGGTGCGTGCAGCAATTGAAATTATCGTTGGGCTGGTAATGAAAAATACCGCTTGCCAACGGCAATCTTTGCCAGCTGTTTACATCAAATTGGGTATATCGGATGTGATGTGACTTGGCCAACAAAAAACTGGGCGCAAGTAGTGCACGTCAACCATATATGCTTAACATCAATTAGGGGCGCACAAACCTAATATGCCCACTTAACCCACAACTGCCGCTGATACGAGAGACAGCCAAAGAGAGAGAGAAGAGAGAGAGAGAGAGAGAGAGAGAGAGTGATAGGCCGCTGAGAGTAAAATATATCGTGTTAAACAGCTTCTAGGAGAAAACTTTGCGCGGCAGACGTGTTAAAAGTCATAAACGAAGCAGCTGCCTGGACAAAGTGCGGGCTTGCAGGATGTGGAACGGGAGTCTCGGCTTACCCGCTTGATAATTATAAGCTTGAGGCAGTCGCCTATCTTGATGTCAGTTGCTGTTGTTGTTGTTGTTGTTGTTGTTGTTGTTGTTGTTGTTGTTGTTGTTGTTGTTGTTGTTGTTGTTGTTGTTGTTGTTGTTGTTGTTGCTGCTACTGCTGCTGCTGGTGCTTCTGTTGAGACATCGCTCGGTAATGGCAACGACGACAGCTGAACAAAAGCGCTGAGAGACATCTCAACAGCTTCCCCGCGCCATCTCTGGCGACGACGCCCCTTTGTTGCGCTGGGTATTATAAACGCAGTCGAAATTGGGGTTAGGTGCTACGTTCTTGACTTGATATACGTTAACCCGTCACTCTGCCCTAGCCACCACATTATCTTGCCCAAGCCCAAGCCCAAGCTCATGCCCATACCCATACCCATACCCATACCCATGCCCATGCCCATTTCCATTCCCATTCTCATTCCCACGCAAATGTAATTAAACCATACATCAACGTGAAATATGTCGACGACGACGAGCCCAGTTAGTATCTCTCTCGTTCTCGCTCTATCTCTTTCTCTGTCTCTGCGTGTGTGTGTGTGTGTGTGTGTATGTGAATGGTTATGTATATGTGTGCGTTGACTTGAATGCCGTTAAACTTTTATCAGAGGTAGCACAACGCAGTCAACAAGCTTGCGACACACAGTCAAAACTAGAAATGAATGAAGTGCGCCCACAGAGAGACCTGTCGGAAAAATGCGGGCAAACAGAACTTAACTAAGTGCATATGTATGTGTGCCAGCAACTGGCTTAGTTTAGGCACGCATTCACATTAATAATAGATCATAGAAATACTTATATATATAAGATGAAACCCATAAGTATGGGGTATACCTCGCCAAAAAAAAAACAACTTGAATTTCCCATAGAGTAACAAAAGTTCGACTTTGATAATTTCGTCGAAGTTTTCGCACCAATGGCGCGTCATGGCTGTGAAGGAAAAGGTAATATAAATACACGTAAATATAAAGCAGAATTGTAATTATGTGCTTAACGCAAGCGATGCTTTAGACACGCCCCGTCTCAACGCCCCCGAATGAATGTCGTATATAGCCAGTAAATACACACACAAGAGTTGTTGGAATTGGTTTGGGTTAGATATTCGGCCGCCTCTACCTCCGCCTCTACCGCTGCTGAATGGCAAGAAGACAAGTTGCTACTAATTTAATTCCAGCCCCGACATCGCCGCCCCCCGAAGGCAACAAGGAGTCTGCCATTCGCTGCGGTCTGGCCAGGAAGCGGGCGGTGCCAAGATAAGGGCGGCACGAAGGCTGAGATGAAAGGCTGTATGCGCTGCATGAGCAATGACCGAGTATACAGCCCAGGCACTATTTAAAGATCAAAATAAATCTATTATCTCGCTATGCTCATCAATTTGAACGGTTCCAATTGACTGATGACGACGGCTGCCCAAAGACAGACCGAAGCGCGGACGTTCGGTATTAGCATGAGTGGGAGCTGCTGCTGTCCTTTGGCCATCAGAAACTTGATGTTCCTATAAACTATATACCCAGCAAGCAATAGTGATCTAGTAAGGAATGCCCGACTCAAAGATGCCCTGGAATCAGCACAAAGCAAAAAACAACCAAGATCTGACAGGGAGTGCTCGGCTTTTTATAAACTATGGAAGGGAGGGCACGACTCAAAGACACCCGGAATTCAGCACAGAGCAAAAGCCAACCGTAATCTGTTGGGAGTGCTCGACTCAAAAATACCCGGAGCTCAGCATAAGGAAATAAATAAAAAACAATAAACTATGAAAGGTAGGGCCTAACTTAAAGATACCCTGAAATCAGCGCAGAACAAGAAGCAACCGGGATCTGGTAGGGAGTGCCCTACTTAATAATACCCTGAAATCAATACAAAGCCATAAACAAGAGTTCTGTGGAAGGGATTGACCAACTCAAAGATACCCTGAAATTAACACAAAGCAATGAACAAGAGTACTATGGAAGGGGGTGTACGACTCAAAGATATCCAACAAAATGTGTCTGTTTGTGCTCACACAGGAATTTAGATTTTTATCGATAGTTTGGAAATAGAAAACTTGTGCTACGTGCTCAAGCCCTTGCCTTTGTACTTTAGGAAATCGGAATACCATATGGACGAAAGGAAAGGCACATATGGCTAAATTGACTCACCTTATTTATTTAAAATTTTTATTGCACGCATAGTGCAGGCTGAGCAAACGAATTGTGTAAACGAGAAGTGCTACAGACATATCATAGGGTATACCAGCCGTTGGTCCAACCAACCAATCGTATTAAAAGATAATTTATATTCCTTTATATATCCTAGATGGCAAAATCGCGCTGATTGTTATATCAATTTTGTATAGGTTTGTTTTTTTTTCTATTTCATACTATTACCATTTTCTATTTAATACTATTATTTACATATTTGCATATTAAGTTTCGCGTAAGGAAACGAAGGACTTCTAATCATTGATTTCTAAATAAGATTAGGCATATATACATAGATGAGGTTACATTAACCTTAGTATGATGTCTTTTGGATAGTTTAGAAAGGCATATTGAACATAGTTTACTGCAGTTCCTACAGGGAACTCTCGCACTCTCTGTCTCTCTCTCTCTCTCTCTCACTCAACACTATCTATCTCTCTCTCTCTCTTTCTATCTCTGTCTCTCTCTCTCTCTCTCCTCTGTCTCTCTTTATACCGCTCTCTCACACTCTATCTCTCACTATCTTTTTCTTTCTGCAAAAGTACAAAATTTTACTTATATTATTTTGGCTTATCAATAATTATTTTTGGGTGCACGCAATTTGATAATAGACACTGCAAAGTCTCAGGTCCACCTCGTCAATATCTGTTTAAAGACATCATTTAGCTCTATTCCACTTTAAAACAAGCTTTTTTCTTAAGAGCAAGCATGGCTGCTTAGCCAGTTGCAAGAGGTTTATGTACGTTGGCAGCAAACGTCGAGCAAAAAAAAAAAAAAAGTAAAATATAATGAGCTACTTAAAGGAAATATGTATGTATATGTATGTGTATATACATATTTGAGTGGGTGTGAGCAGGTGAGCCGCTGAGTAGGTGAGCAGCTGAGCTAGTGTGCACGCCCAGCTGCTTACGGCGCTGAAATGCAGTCTGGGCACGAGGCACAAGGCACGAGGCACGAGGCAACAACCAAAGTTG